GCAGTGCAGAGTATTACCTATGCTTCCCAGTCACCGCATCAGCTGACAATGCGCTGATTATCCCCAGAAATCTTTAAAGTGCTAAGTGAAGGATTTGTTGGTATACACTAAAAAAACACAAAGAAATTGTATGTTGACTTAACTCTACAGCAAAGACAAAGACTCAGAATGCAAGATTGGTCCTCCACATGTTTTAGGAACTCAGTGTAATGAGTAAATTTAATGCAGTGACTCTGAAGTAATTAACTGTATGAGACATCATCCCTGGTGTTTAACAGATTAAATTCCATCCAAAACTGTAAAGCCAAGAAGACATAACATCTTACAGGTAGAATGGGTTAATGTTATCTATGTAAATGATAGTTGGATCAGGGAAAACTGTGGGTAAGATTGTTTTGTCTAAAATTGCCAGACACATAAACCAGAATCTGAAAGATTGGTAAGACAACAGTTCAATTCCTACTGATTTTGCTGTATTCAGAAGAGCTGCATCTTTTCTCCAGTTGGCATGACAGAAACAGCATAGTTAGAACTAGTCAGCATAAACTGAAGAGTGTAATACTAATAAAAAGCTCAGATCCTCCTATTTTCTTACACAATATAAATAGCAGAGATTACCCTTGGGTATTAACATGCTTTAATCTTTAAGTCAATGCAATAAGTTTTGCTCGTCATTATGTACATATAACCACATCAACACCAATGGAACACACAAGTATGAACAACTTTTGGCTTGTTTGGCCTGAACTTGAAGGACTTGACTAAACTCCTATTTTTGTTTGTTATCTTATTTCCAAAAGCTTAATCTACAGACTATATTGCAAACTTGACCAGTAAATTAAAACAACTATTTATTGTCTATACCTCAAATAATCAACTGTAAGAAAAGATGGCATCCTAAACATTACCAACTTCAGCTTATGCCATGGAAATCAAAGTCTCACTGTATACTGTAGAATGTTTTTATGCTCAGACTTGCCTGTTAGTTATTTCTCACAAGTTTATTTTCAGAAATTAATTCTGTAGGACAACAGAAAGCAAATGATGTAACTCGCCATTTTGACAGCTGTCCAGAGAATTTGGTTAACTCCAGTAGCATTGGCAGATTTTACTATTAATGTTGTTGTAGCATTTGCTTAGAAGTTACGCTGCAGTCACTGTTGAAATAGTTTAGCAGGGCACTGGGAAACAGGAATAGAACAGACTGAACTTTTGAAACTTGGAAGCAAACACACAACAAAGCCTGGATTATTTTCATCAAGTTCTTGGCTTACAAACTGAGTAACAGAGCTGGTCTGTGCGTGCTGCTGCCTACGAGCCGAGTAGGATCCCCTTTGTTTCCCTCCATGACATCTGGGCGTATCTCAGCAGTTCTGAGCAACTTTAGCTTCAGCAAGTGTCAGTGAAACTGCCTGTGTTAGAGAATGGGGCAAAATAATGTTTGACTAAAAACTGTAAAATTAGGCTACAATATTATTAAAGATCTCCGCAGAAATTCCACTCTTACTTGGAAAGAAAACAACCCAAAAACCTCCTGGACAGGATACCTATAGAATCCCTTAGCTAATGTGAAAATAAGAACATAATATTAGAGGTAATGGATCAGAAGGAAGATCTAAATAGGCCAGAGTCCTGTCTCCAGCAGTAGCAATAGCTAGCAGCTATGGAAGGCAGTAGGAGTACGTAAGCACGTAGAGATACTGGCCTAGTACACTTCCCAAACCTCCAATAATTTACAGCTCAGAAGTCACCTGAGCTGGAGTTGTTTAATTGGTGCGAGTGGTTGCTTTAGTCTAGACAGCTGATGAATGTGTCCTACAACACATCCCAGGCTTTTGTCTTCATACTACTAAGGTTGCAAACTTAGCCAGGGTGGACTATGGCTTTCCTCTGATTGTTAAACCTGGGTTTTCTTCCTGCTGATAGCAAACTGATGAAGTGGCAGGAGGTGCTGCTGTGAACCAAAGTCTCACTTTAGCTGGAAACCAGATGTTGCTGAATTCTGCATGAGTCTGCTAACTCGCACATAGCCAGAATAGACTTCTGACAGCTCCTGAGAGCTGTCAAAGTAGCAAAACATCCATCTGCTCTCTAAATTGAGGTCCAAGTGTAGATCATGAATTTTGGGGAGCAATTTGAGTTTATTCTGCCAGTTCTGGTGGCTACTTGTTATTCTTCTACTAAATCAATTCTCTGCTTGTCATTTGTGATGAAAAAGAGAGAATTAGTAAGATGAAAAAATAATTTCTGCATTTTCACTTCCATCAGAACAAGGAGGAAGCAAATCCTGCTTAAAGTAGGCACAGAACCGGATTATTTTAATTCTCAGATAACAAGAAAAATACTTCTCCAATTTTTGGTAGGATAAACCTTGCTACCTTTATCTCCCATCCTTACACAAGAAACAGTAACTAAAGAAAGATCTTTCTGGCATCCCAAAATCAGGGCAGTATTAGATGAGTGACTATGCTGTATACAGGGCTCCTTCTATGCACAAATCACTGGGAGCGATTCTAGGTCTAAAGAAAAAAATATTGGACCTGAAATCCCAGAATGAAACGCAGAAGGAGCCATAAACTGATTCTAAATTGACACAACTGAAACTTAGTTTTAACAGATACCCATTCAATGCTTCTAGCTATGCAAATAAAATGAGTAATAGAAGCACTCAGATAGATAGTGCTCATTCTATGTTCTTAATTGCTCAAGTCTATGTCTCCATGATTTCACTTTTATCTTCCCTTTCATCTCCATATATTTCCCACCTAGTACCCTAAAAATTACCGTAGTCAGTCTAATATGTTATTTTTCCTATTAACTGGGGGAAGGGGGAGGGAACAACACAGACACAGATTTTAATCAGACTTTGTACTAGACAGCAAGGATACTGTTTATAACAGCCTTATAATATGCATAATCTACTAGCGTGTGTATATATACTAACATTGATATTTCTGTATCAACAAGATAAATATAGTGTACAAATTAAAAATAAACCTAGCTTATAATCCTTATGATTATGGGCAATACCCTTTAAAATATTAAATCAGTTCTTACCTTTTCCTTTGCTAAATTTGCTACACATCAAACTCTACTGTAAATAGTCTAAATTTTGTGAGAAGACAGTGTATCTATTGCATTCTTGCAAAACTGACTGCAAAGAGCAAGTAACCTTATTTGAAACATACTGATAGGCCAAACAATATGAAGAGAGGTAATGTTTGGAAACCTTTGGGAAAAGAGGTTGTGCTTATTTGCCTTTTTGTACTAGTGGGCTGCATATCAAGGCTGCAATGAGGTAAACATTCCAGTTCAGCAACATTCCTCTATGTCTTTTCAAAGTCTCTGTGGAGACTAAAGTAGAAAAATCACTTATTTGCGGTTAAGAAAATAGCAGGGACTTCTGCATTAAATATTAAATAAATTCTGCCCACAAGATGATAAAATGCTTAAATCAAATGATGAGACGTTACCCATCTAAGCAATGCATTAGGAGTATAAAATGTGATTCAGCATGCTATGAACCTTTCACTCTTGCACTCAGCAAAGACATCAGGGCTGCTGTTCTCAAGACTGAATTATGATGCTGTCAGGTTTATAACAAAATAGTACTAAGATTATAGTGAATCATTTACCCTGCAAAATGCATTCCAGCATTTTTATAGTTGCTAGATTGATTTCCAGATTACCAGAGCTCAACCTATGTGCAGATGGAAAATCGCTCATATAATTGTTTCTTCAGTACAAAGGCTAGGCAAATCTTTAAATTCTTTTGGACTAGATATATATTTAAGTTACGGATATTGTTAGAAGGTGCTTTCACTATTAAATTGTATTGCTGTTAATGCCTTCATCTCTGAACACTGAAAGATCTCACAGGTGACCAGGACAGGTGGGAGGAATTCTCTGATCTCTGGGTAAACGGAGTAGAGAAGATACTAACTTGCCATTAAGAAATGTAGGTAAGTTCAGACATGTATTTCTTTTGAAGATGCTGAGTCCTAAAATGTCACTTTAGATCTCTTGCAACTCCCAGATAATGTCACTATGTCAAACGGTCCTGCAAAATTGTAACCTCTTTTATGAGACCATACCAAAATACAAGTTATAGTATTGTCACAAGGCTACTCAAATCTATAATGCCCTTAAAATGTGTTTCTCTGTAGACCTTGTCACGGGACTTGGTCAGTGAGTGAGTCACTTTAATTGCATAACTGAATACCATCACACCCTGTTTTTAACACACACTGCAACATCTGATGAACTTTTCCAAGTCCTGTAATGTATCAGTGCCAGTTGAGTGAGTCAGCTGCCTCTTTGCTGCATCATCCCCCAGACATACAGCAATACTAGAGAGGAATAAATAACTATAGACATAATAAATCTTAGTTTGGGGATCATCTCTATCTTTCAAAAGCAAGAGAGATTCTTCAGCCCTTTCTTAAATGGTAACACATTTTGGCTGAACACAATACACATGTTTTTGGGAAATGGCTTCAATATCATAATGCTCTCCAGTACAGCTCTAAACATTCCATGAAAGGATAAGAATCTAGTGAAACCTTTTCCAAACACAACCATAAGCTGTATGTAGAAACAGAACAGGGACTCTGAGGCCTGAGGACTTGAATTCCACACCACCTGTGCTAATTTGATTTTTTTTCTGGTGTATGCTAATATGGAGTCATTTAGAAGACTCAGAAAGGTCTCTGCCTCTCCACAAGCTTCCACATCCCTGACCTCTCTGATTAAAATCAGAGAAAAAAAATAGATTAAAATGGACAGGACTGGGAAAATTTCTTGCTGATGGCTTTTATTTGCTAGTATGACACAGGAATTGGCAAGAAAGGCCCAAGATATAATTGTTTGCCTCAGAATGACAGAGAATCAACTATCGTCTTCATTCCACTATATTGCTGATTTTTTTCATTAACATTTTTATTAAAACTGGTGATAGTCTAATAAATCTATTCAGAAAATCTACTTACCATGGCACTTACTGGCATACTTGATTTAATTATCCTCTTCTAAGAGCAACTGCTTGTAAGGTAAAGGTGATTCTCTGCCATCTATCTTCCATTCTGTAACCCCTAAACCAAACATAATACTGAAGAAATAAAACGTTTAGGCTCTGACATTGTTCCTGTTCTTAGTATAGTCAGCATATGCATTAGTGGGACTAGGAAATACCTTTAAAGGACAGTAGCACGAGACTGAAGCTGACAGAGAAGGCTTCACCTTCTACTTGACTGTAATTTATTAGCACATTTGTTACTGTAAAAAAAAAAAAAAAATGGAGGGAATTTTTTACTGAAGGTACAAATAAAAGACACTACTTCCTCCCAACAAGCAGAAAAAGAATCACCCAGCATCAGGCTAAAACATAATTTCTTAATTATAATGATTATGTTGTCAGTGGTTGACACAGTGACCTGATAGGACAAGAAATGCAGAATGAAAGCACCAGCCCATTTCTGAAGCGGGAAAAGAAAATAAAATGGCATTTGTTCTCTTCTCAAATGGCTTCCTTATGTTCTACAGAACTCGGAGCAGTTGCAGCTGTTGGGAGAAGCTAGAGCTACTTTCACTGCTGCCAGTCACACTCCCAGACACCCTGAAGGAACCCACAAGCCACACAATTTCACCACTGAAGTTCTTCAAAGTTAGTTGACCTATAACTTCTGGAAAATTCACAATAGAAAAGCATCTTCCTCTTAAAGAAGCAGACTTTCAGCATACTTCTCATTCCCTCTACCCTGGTCCTTCTTTGGTAATTAAGTCAGCAGTACCTTCCTCTTGGCTAGAACCCATACAGATTTAAACTATAATGGCCAAAAACCATCCCAGCTATAATTTATTGGACAAGCTTAGATAAAGAACATGGAAGAAATTTTAAAAAGTAGGGTACAAGTTGGGATGTCTTGGAAAACACAGAAAGGATTGGGCATATCTGAGGTTTTTCCCTACATTCCTACTGGAACAGTGTGAGTACGCCAGAGGCCATCTTATGGGTTAAACATTGTGACTGGTCAGGAAATCCATGTGTGGCCGGGATACTACAGGAAGATAATTTAGCTGAGTCCTCTGTGTGGCAAGAGAATGATGCTGGACAAGATTTTCAGCTGATGGAGCAGTGCATAAAACAAAGGCTGCACAAGATAACAGCTGCTGCTTTCTGTCCCGTTCTGCTGACCTCTGCAGTAGTAGTTCTCTCAGATGACAGTACTTTACTTAAAGGGGTTGACTTCAGTTTTGTAAAATACAGAGAACTTCACAATAAAACTGCCTATAACTACAGAAAATAGCAGCTTTTGTTTCAAACTTCAGATAGACAGAACATGTTAAACCAAACTAAAATTTTCTATTAAGGAAATAACTCCCTAAATTCTGTTCTTTTATTAAAAATCATTGATGCTGCTGATGTAGCACATAAAGTAATCAAAGTAGGTTTTATCACAGCTGTGGCCAATTTCAGTTTGTTCTTTTGTTTAAATGAACTAAAAAGTTTGCACTGATCTTTCAAAGTAATTTGAATGGGCACCTGGAATCTTTATCAGAAGGATCTAACTAAGACTAATCCCTTCAACATGGTATATATAACCTGTACTGAAATAATCCAACATACACAGAAGACACATCATGCTGGTATGTCAAGAAAGTACATAAACTTGTATTATATTTTTAATGCTGATAAGACTATAATTTCATATGTATTTATTTAAATTTGTAAGGTTTTTGAAAAACCATTATTCTCTGATCTCTGCCAAATTACCTAAAGAGAATATTCACACTGCATTTGTAAAACGAAACCGTGAGCTGGACTCCCTTTACCACCTGTTAATAGTTTTCCATCTACACCAGGGCTTTTAAGGTTCAGCTAAAACGCACGCTGCTTCTAGTAGAGACAAGTCTATGGCACATTTCCCCTCAAAAAAGTCAAAGAGAACAAAAACTCAGAAGATATTCAGTGTATGCCAAAGTTCAGCCTCTGGCAAACCAGGGTAAATAGAAAGCTCTTGTGGAGAATTTCTCATTGAGAATGCTCTACCTACAGGCAGCCAATCCACAGTTAAGCCAAGGGATTTTTCTGCACAAGCCCTTTGCATGGTTTCAACTCATGGTATAATACACTCAAAGTAGTGATCTGAGATGATAAAGCTCCCGTCATACAGCTTTAAATGGTGGTAGTAGTAGTAATGTTCCGGCATCATCTCATGTTTTTTGTTTTGCTTGCCAGTGTATAATCTCTAGGCAGCCATGCTTTGTTTAGTCAGTGAAACTAAAGAAGAAAACAGGCTACTGAGGTCACATACAACTTCAAAAAGAATGTTCTCAAAATTAACAAGCTGGGTTTCAAGACTGGTAACACCATGTATAAACACACCACCAGGTGACCCGAAGGGGCATTATAAAGTCAATGGGATAAATTCCACTTGTGAACAAACTAGTAAGCAATGTGAAATGGGAAGAGGAATAAAAATATGAAAGTAGTTCTTATTCACTAAAATCAAATAAGGAAGCTCTGCCTTTGAGTGGTATTTTTTTCACAAGGGGCAACCAGGGTAATTCTTGTATTCTAATTAATTTAACTTGGTATAAAGGTGCAGTACTGTAAAATACTAGACCTATTTCAGTCCTACTATAAAGGTATCATATTAAAATCATAAAAAGAAAAAAAACCCACAGGTTTATACTTGATGGAAAACAAAAAAGGGAAAGAGGCTATTCCATGAACACTGTTAAGACTGCACAAACCTGATGGTAAAAGCACTATTTCTGCTGCTATATTGGTTATCCCTAGGAAGCAACACAAGTACCTGTATGGGTCCTTTGAAGTTTTTATGTTGAAGTACAACTGAAGTTATGTACTTGTCAGAGAATATCAGTGCCAAAAACATGCCTTGCACTGAACAACACATTTACAATTGTCCACAGCTCCTGGGGAAATCATTTTGCGCTCTTGGCTCAGTCCACAGGAAAGCTGTATCCCATTTAAACAAGCTTTACCATTCAGAGTCCTCAAGTCCTGAATGCCTTTTTACACATTCTGGCCCTGTAGCCCCTTCAGTAACAGACCCGGCCCCTTGAACTCAGTTTGTAAGCCCAACATGCGCTCTGGACAGGCAAACAACAGAGAAACACGCCCAACAGCGAGAGAAATCAAAAGCTGCCGTGGCACCAAGTATTTTAGGGGACAGTTTAACACCCCCCCTCCCTCCCACAACCGACACACCAGGGCGTCGTGCCCTCACCACACCACACCACACCACACCACACCATAACCACCGTGCAGCCCTCCCTCACGCCGCGCCCTCTGCCTCCCCTGAGCCACGAGGGGAAGCTCCGCTACCTCAGAGCCCGGGACCCCCAGGCAGCACCCATGAACCCAGTGTACCCCCGAGCACACCGGGTTAACCCCTCCCGGCGCTCCCCCCCTCACCACACCGCACCCCGCCTCCCCTTCAGCCGTTGGGCCGCCAGCCCCTCCCGCCGCGCGTGCCCGCTGCGCACGCAAACCACGCCCCCCCCCTCGGGGAAGAGTGGCTCCTGGCCCCGCCCCCTCGCTGCGTGCCCCGCCCCGTCCCTCCTGGCTGCCGCCGCTGTGTCTCTCCCCCGCTCCCCTTCGCCGCACGGGCGGGGTGCGTGGCGGTGCCGGTTCGGTGCCTAAGATGGCGTCTATCATGGAGGGCCCGCTGAGCAAATGGACCAATGTCATGAAGGGCTGGCAGTACCGCTGGTTCGTGCTGGACTACAACGCCGGGCTCCTCTCCTACTACACGGTGAGGGGCAGCGGCGGGCCGGGCGGGTGAGGAGCCGGGTAGACCGGCTGAGGCGCAGGGTGGGGGTGGGGAGGGGACTCGGGGCGGTGTGAGCTCTCGGGCAGCCAATGGGGAAAGAGGAGGCGGCGGGCGCAGCCAATGGGGTGGCGCTGCGGGGAGATCTACCGGTGGGGGCGAGCGGGGCTGTTATTGTTGGCGGCGGCGCGGGGGCTGGGGGCGCGCCTCCGGGGCGGGGTCGTTGGGCGGGAGCCGCCGTTGGCCCCCTCACAGCCCCCGGGCGAGGGCGGGCCCCCTGCCCCGGGGGAGCGGGTCGGGCTCGGCGGTGGCTCCGGGCTCCCGGGTGTCGTTGTCTCAGTGCCGTCCTCTCTGTGCAGCGGGAAGTTGCTGTCGCCCTGCTGTGTTCGCGCCGCCCAGGCGGCGGGCCTGAGGGGGTGCTGCTTTCCCGCGCCGCTCGCCTCAGGAGCTGCGCTGGGCTCGGTCGCTCCCGGACCCGGTGCGCTGCCGACACGCGGGTCGCTTCCCGGTTCGGGACTGACTTTGCTGTTTCCGTTGAAGACTTCCTACTTTCAAGCACTAACTTTTAAAGTACAGTGTAGTAACAGTCATGTGTTCTTGGCTTCTTTTTTATTGTAACCTCTGACAGGTCCCGACTCGCTGCTTCAGCTTCTAACACAAAAATGTGAATTAAATCGCAAATATTCTAACGGTATGAATCAATTTTTTCAAGGGTATGCCCTAAAATGGGAAGGATAACTGGCTGAACCACGTGCATAGATGAGTTTTCATAGCATGGAGCAATTCCTATTAGTCTGTCAGTCTGGCTAAAACAAGTACACGTTTAACCTGTAGTAAGTTGCATTAGATTTACAGCAAGTAACTTGGAGCATCATGCTGTCTGTAAAGCTTTATGCATACAGGAGGATTGCATATAAAACGCTTTTGCCCCCTAGATCTGGATTTACAGCCCTGCTAGGTGAGAGCTTATCTTTCCAGACCTAGGAGTTTATAAGGCAAAACAGTTACAGACTCTCAAACAATTTTGGCTCATGCAGGTTGGAAATCCCTCACCTGGAATCTGGATGGAGAAATGAAAGTGCTGTTTTATGGCTGTTCAAATGCCAGCTGCTTGACTGGGGTGAATTAGTGAGTGTAGTCTTAAGTAGAGGTCCAAGGTGCAAAGGCACTTTATACTTAAGCTTGGAAATAGAAGCATTTACTGATGACTAGTGTGTATAATAATAATAATTCTGGTTATTGCACTGACGTTTGATAGTTTTCACTTGTTTAATAAAAAACTTTTTTGTATTTCATTATTTCTTATGATTAGGTATCTCTACATATGCATTACACTTTCAATTTGAATAATATGTTCTCTTTTATAATAATGACTTTTAGTCCACAAATTTAAAAATTCTGTTTTTTAACTACCTGTCCTAAAAATCCAGTTGGGTTCAAGGAACCAAATCATGTTTTCTGCTCATGTGCCTTTACCACTAAGAAATGCGTGCAGTAACATTTACTGTAGAATGCTTTCCATACCCATGTGCTATCTTTTCTGCACGTATGTCTGTAAAGTACTTGTTATGCCGTTTTCTAGACATCTGAATTCGTTCTTGTACCTAAGGGTGTGTATTGTGTTGAAAGACTGGCTGCCAAAAGAGCTGATCCCTCAGCATGCACGCTGCTCCATGTGTGCTGCCTGATTACTCATAGGGCTGCAGGGTCAGAGCAAGGGGTTGAAAGACAATTCAGATCAAGTCCCAGTTGACCGCATACCTCACAAGTACTAATATTAGCATTGAAAAGGTGGTGGGATACTGCTTCTTTCAGTTCTACTTTTAGTTTTAGAGTAATAACTCCTGACTGGTGGTTTATAAGGCTGCTTATTGTTTATAAGCATCATTAATTTGGAGTGTTAGCAGATTTGCCTATGTATTTATGAGGAGAAATGACCTGTTGTGATTCAGTATATGCAGACTTGTATTTTGAATTAAAGGCTTATCTGTGTGATCAGGTATGAAGGGTCGCATATTCCATTCCCCCTGAGTCAGTTGCAGTCTGAAGCCATATAATTGCCTTGCTACAAGCATAACTGAATAATTTTTGAGCCTGAAACTGGCCCTTCCCTATGAGCATAATACATGGGTGGGGTAGGTTGAGATTGTTTCAGCCTGGCTGTATAGACTTGCAATCTGGAAACAGTTTTGCTGATGGGAGAGATTGCCAATAGCTGATCACCTTTTACTTACTCATCTCTTCTCAAGGCTCCTTGGCCCATTCCAGTCCAGAAGACTGCTTGAAGAAAACACTTGATCCAGTAGATTCAATGGGCAATTAACCTTTGGCAGAGGAGCAGTGGAAAAGTGCAGGGTAATAACTTCTGGTGCAGCTGAACTTTCTGTCAGAGCCAGATCCAGTCGTATAGTCTCTTCATAGGTCTGTCCTTGTACAGTTGTATTTAGGTTCCTTTGGTGGTAACTTAAAATAGGCTGCAGAAAAGTACCCCTAATGTAGAATAAGAATTCAAACAGAATTAGTGTGTAATAGTATTGCACTTGGAGGGGGGAGAAACCCCAGAGCATTTAAATTAGCATGCTTTGACTTTTGATAAAATGAGTAGATATTAACCTAAATACATTTTTGGATGCATACATCAAAAGCAAATTAGTTCGATTAAGTTTGCATTTCTGACCTAATTAGAACTTTCAAGGCAAAAGATTTGACACCCAAGTGTGGTTTAGAAAAAAAAAAAAGAAGCTGATTTAATGTTCATACTTATTTCAGTTTTCATTTGT